TCTAAATATTCTCAATCATTTGATATTGAATGCTCAAACTTTCATACAAACGTCGTGCTTGAACTCAAGATCTCTAAAAATGACAATCATCTTTATATTCACTAAAATTATGTAAAAATAAAGAGGAAAAATGTTACAAAATATAGAAACAAGAAACGGTTAGGCATATGGAAAACACCTCACTTCCAACCATTCACAGCTCATATATCACCATGAACACAAGCGAAAACAAACAATTTCATAATATTTTTTGTTTATTTAAACGAGTGTTCGTAAATTAAGTTGTATCAACTCATTGAAAACCTATTTAAAAATAAATTATTTTTAAATTTTGATAAAATATTGTCCTCTAATTGATTGATAGTGCGTAAAATTATACACTATTAATATATCAAATATGATATTTTGTTTCATTTCTACATTATCATCTTGTTTAATTTGTTATATATTCCTATAAATTTAATATGTTTATGAATTGTTTTATAATATTTTTAATGAGTTGATATATTTATAATATTTCACTTTTAATTTTTTTATATATTTTAATTGGTTAATCACCCAACAATAGTATTTAAATGAGGAATCATAGTGATGCACAAACGTACATATATATATATATATAATTAACTTTTGTCACGTATTAAAACGAATAGGAATTAGCATTGTATAATTCAATAAACTAATTAGATTACAATTATTATAATAGTAACAATAGTGGAACTGTTAGAAGAGGACTTTGGGACCACTTAAATTCTGTTGGAAATGATATTGGTTCCTCCTCTTGGATCCTTGGAGGGGATTTCAACATCATAGCCAAAGCAGAGGAGAGCTCTGACTTTGATGTCATGGTATTCATTGCACCCCAGACATGAAAGATTTTCAAGACTGCTTGGAGAGTCTTGACCTCATGGATCATCCGTTTCTTGGTCCTTTATTCACATGGTCCAATAAACAAGAAGATTACTATTTAGCGCGTAAATTGGATAGGATCTTAGTTAACAATCAGTGGTTGTTTGATCATCCATAATCTTTTGCTGAATTTGCTGCTCAGGGCGTTTCAGACCATTGTCTCGGGTTATTGTGGACTCATAAAGGAGGTTTAACCAAGAGGCCTCGACCTTTTAAATTTTTTAATTGTTGGGCTGGCCATGAGCTATTCTTGGATACTGTTAGATATTCTTGGCAGGGTTCTTGTGGTGATAATGTCATGGATGGTCTGTTCCTAAAGTTGAGGAGGCTCAAACATATCATAAAGAATTTCAATAAGGAGTATTTTTCTGATATCTCGGGCAGGGTTACCAACAAAAGGGCTGAAGTAGAACAGATCCAGATTTTTAATATGGCTAACCATGATTAGAGGAGGATTGGTGATGAGAAGAGGATTCATGTTGAATTAATGGATTTAGAACTGGCAGAATCTGTTTTTTACAAACAAAAGGCGAAAAGCACATTGGCTGAGAGAGGGTGATTTAAATACCAGGTCTTTTCATCAAAGGACTCAGGCCAATAAGAAAAGAAATACTATCAGGATCGTCGTAGGTGAGGATGGGCTAAGACACGATTCCTTTGAAGGAATGGCTGCTGAGTTATTGAATTTTTTCACGAATCTTATTGGCTCCAGCGATCCTATGGTCAAGGGTTGCTCTACTGAGATTTTGAAGGATTTATTGGGGTATTCTCTGCCTGAGGGAGCAGATTTTGTTCTTACCAAGAAGGTGAGTGATCTGGAGATTAAGGAGACATTATTCAGACAGGGAAAGGATAAAAGCCCTGGTCCAGATGGTTCTACATCTGGTTTCTTTAAGGTTGCTTGGGAAATTGTTGGTAATGACTTTTTTTCTACTGTGAGGCATTTTTTTCATACTTCTTGCTTGCTGCCTGCTTTTAATTCTACAGCTTTGGTGTTGATTCCTAAGTCTTTAAATGCTTGCTTGGCAAAAGATTTTAGACCCATATCTTGATGTTCAGTGGTATACAAAACTATAACCAGGATTCTTGTAAACAGACTTATTCCATACTTCCCTGGTTGATTTCCCTCAATCATAAAACTTTTTGTCAAGGGTAGGAATATAGTGGATAACACTCTATTAGCACAAGAAGTGGTTAAAGGTTACTCTAGGAAGAGTTTATCTCCTAGATGTGCTATCAAAATAGATCTCCAGAAGGCATTTGATTATGTCAATTGGGAATTTTTGCTGTCTGTTCTTGGAGCCTTGGGACTTCCTGATAAATTCTGCAATTGGATTAGAGCATGCGTTACTACACCCATGTATTTTGTTTCACTGAATGGCAGCCTGGTGGAGTTTTTTAAGGGTGTAAAGGGGGTTAGGCAGGGTGATCCCTTATCACCCTACTTATTTGTCATGGTGATAAATGTTTTGCCATCTTTTCTGAATGTTGCAGCCATGAAGGGAATCTTTCGTTTTCACCCAAAATGTAAAAGAATTCAATTAACCCATCTTTGCTTTGCGAATGACCTTCTAGTTTTCTGTCATGGGTCCCTTGAGTCTGTGCTTGGTGTTCAAAGTACTTTAGAAAAGTTTTATGAGCTTTCAGGACTTAAGTTGAATGCCTCGAAAACTGAGTTCTTTGCTAGTGGCTTGAATCAAACTACCCTCGATCAGATCCGGCTAGCCATTGGGTTTAGAATGGCTCAGCTCCTTGTTAGGTATCTAGGGGTTCCCCTAGTTTCCCGCAAGCTCACTGGTAAAGACTGTATTGCTCTGCTGGAAAGAATTAAGGACAAATTGAGACAATGGTCCAACAAAAAACTTAGTTTTGGAGGAAGATTGCAGTTAGTCAAATCTGTTCTATTCAGCATCTTTAATTTTTGGTGTAGGCAGCTTATCATTCCTAAAGGGATTATTAAGGAAGTGGAGAGACTTTGCATGCGTTTTTATGGAAAGGGTGTGACACTCTGGCTAGAGGAGCCCGAGTAGGCTGGAGTCAGATCTGCTCCTTGAAGTCTGAGGGCGGGCTGGGACTCAGGGACCTTGCTCTTTGGAGTAAATCGTGCTGCCTGATGCTAATTAGGAATATCCTAGCTAATGCTGGTTCATTGTGGATAGCTTGGATAAAGGCTTACTGTCTTAAATCAGAAAGTTACTGAGAGGTTGTTAGTAAGCCTCATTACAGCTGGATTTTAAGCAAACTACTGAGACTTCGAGATGATGTAAGGAGATTTTTTGTTCCTGGTACTGATTTGAGCCAAATTAATGGTAAATGGATACGGGATAGTATTCGAATTAGTAAAGAGAAGGTGAGCTGGCACAAGATTATTTGGTTCCCTTCTCATATTCCAAAATTTTCCCTTATCGCGTGGATGGTTACCCTCGATAGGCTGCCAACTAAAGACATGCTTGTTCGTTTTGGTTTGGATATTGATGATGTATGTATGGTATGTGGTTCTGGCAGGGAATCACGTGATCACCTATTTGCTGACTGCCCTTATGCTAAGATGTTTGGAGTGTTGTTCTACGGCTGTGTGGGATTCGCTGTGTGGATTTCAGTTGGGATTAGCGCCTTAATTGGTTGATCGAGAACTTGAAGGGCAAAAACCTTCGCAGTTGGATCCTTAAGCTTGCTTGGACCGAGGTCTTTCAAGCTCTAGTGAAGTAATTGTAAATAGAATTAAGGTAGCGGTGAAAACCAAAATATATTAGTATCTCATCTCATTAAATCAATTTATATTTAATAATTTTTCTTTTTCTTATTACCCCAAATATCCAACCAAACAATGTTTATTAGATATTGTTCTGATAAGGAATCAACGTGATGCATGTACGTATACGTCATTAACATTTACTACAAAAAAAGATTGCATATAAAATAAAATCGTGAACCGACAACATTTTCTTAACTAAATAAATATTTCTCTACTTAAAATAATTATAGTAATTATTTACATTGAAGACCTTTATTTCTTTAATTTTATTTGTAAAAAAAATATGTTGCTTCCACATGGATACATGTGAGTTGCTTGTGTTCATTGTTTTCAATCATTCCATTAAAATATGGATTAAAAATCTTTTGGATAAGATTTAGATTTTTTTATATTCATTTTATTTTCCATTAATTTAAAATATTTGTTTTTTATTTACAAAAATTGGAAAAAATAAATTTTCTATTTTACTATTAATAGAATTTAATTCTCATAATTTATGAAAATTGAAAAGTTAGTAGGACTAAATAACAATGTTAAATTTTATCGTTAAATAATTAATTTGAAAATTAACAATTTAATAATTAATATACAAAAATTAGGAAGAATCAACTGTTTAATTTTACGTGTTTTTAATAATCGAACAAATCTCTCGATCTTTATAAAGTACGAGAATCAAATTCAGACAGTATTAAAGTATAGGGACTATAGGGGATGATTATTTTTGGTCATCCACTCCTTATTAATGATTTGTACGATGCGAGCGTTATTGAGGCACATACTAAGACATAAGAGAATTGGTTAGTGATTGAATTGAAACGACTTAATAATATTATCGAGAGTGATGTTATTAATATCATCCGCCAATGAGTTCATCGGTGACTTGAGTTGTTCGTGGCAAGCTTTCATATAGCTGAAACTCAAAGGTTATTGCATCAAAACATATGTATCTAAGTCCATAGTATTTAGTGCTATGCCAATGTTGTCGTTGACACCCTTGTACATTAAACTTCTTCTAATCATTCATTGTTATATTTTAGTTATGAAGGTTCTGAATGCATAACTACTACCGTATTCCATGGCATTATTTTCGTCAAATGCAATATAATTTCTTACCTTTTAAAAAAAATAAAGACTGGGGACTAAGATATCAGTTTTTGTAAAGTAAAAGAATGGAAGTAAAAATTATACCTTTTGTACAAAATAACAGGATGAAATGTGAAAGGAGGGTAGAGTAGTAAATATAACCGAATAAGAGATGCATTTAAATAATTGGACCACGAAACACTTTCAATATCGTTTCATTCAAGCCTTCATTAGGCTCTTATTCTGTTAGAGCTCTCCGCTTCCGACAAAAAACAAACCGGATGAAAGTTAGAAGAAGAAGCTCTTACAATGGCGTTAACGGCAACAGCACGATCCGAGTTGCGTAAGTTCTTGAACCGGGCTCCGAGACCGGGTTTCATCGGCTCCGACTTCAATGGCCACACACGGCCGCCAACGCCAACCTTTAGCCGCGATTTCTCGTCGTCTTCCTCCGCCGCAGAGGTGGCGCCTCGAAGGGATCCAATGGGATTTGAATCGGTGGGAATGAAGGAATATTTGGATTATAGGCGGTCACTTTACGGAGAGATCACTCACAAGGCTGTTCTTGTTGACGCTGCCGGTACCCTCTTGGCTCCCTCTCAGCCCATGGCTCAGGTATTCTTTTTGTATCGACTATGTTTAATTGGTTAAATTGTGATTTTAATCCTTCTACTATGCTCTAATTTAAATTTCTATCCTATAGTTTAATTTGATATAATTTTGTTCGTTTTAGTTTGTAGTATAAAATCTGTAACATGATAAATTATAAAAGAAGTTTCTAAGAAAAATTTCACATCAGTATTTTAATTGGAATAGTTAACTAATGATAATATAAAAGTAGAGGATTAAATTATGCAAAATGAAAGTACAGTGTCTGGATTTCGATTCTAAGCACAATAAAGGGACAAAAACAAAAAAAATCATTTATTTAATTCATGACAGAGCATATCTAATTATCTATGCATACTACCAAAGCAATCCCTAAAATGATGAAATTGTATATAATTTTATTCGGAAATTAAATAAGTGTAAGTTTATACATGGTAAAATTGAATGCAAGCCCCCATAAAATTATAAAATCATATTTTAATCCATAAAAATTATAAAATTATAAACTAATATAATAGTTAAATTTAGTTACTTTCTGTTTCGTTTTTTAGTTTTCAACTTGGATTTTCATTGAAATTTATATACAACCGACGCAAGATTTTGTGCTTTGGAGGCGAACTTCTAAAATTTTAAGAGATAAACTTATAAAATTAAAAGACAAAAATAAATTATCAATAGAAAGTATAAATACAATAGCTAAAATATATGATAATTTTAATTTTTTAGAAGATAACTCTTATTGCGTCCCGTCACCCTCAATCTAGCCCAGTATAGAATGGTCTAATTATCAATTTTTCTATTTTTTGGGTGTAGATTTATAGAGAGATAGGGGAGAAATATGGGGTGCAGTACTCTGAAGCTGAGATATTGAACAGATATCGAAGGGCATATGCTCAACCTTGGGGTAAATCTCGTCTCAGGTATTATTTCTTTATTATTCTTGCCTTTTAATACGACACATAATTTGTATCAAAGTGAGTTTATCGAAGTGTTTATGACTAAGTCATTAATTAGTGATTAAACCAATAGAAGGTTGGTCTTTTTTAATTATGTGATTACTTGGAATCACTATCTAAAACCAGTTCCATGAGTTAACTTCTTTATTGGGTTCATCGTCTTAGCATGGGTTAATGTGTGTAATTGGTCAACTATATATTTCTAAACGATTTGATATATTTATTTATTGGAAAGAAAAGAGTTAATTGTATCACACATCCTCAAAATATGGTCTTCATTTAATTTGACCTTTAAACTTTTGAATGTTCTAGTTTCATCCCTAAACTACTTATCATTCAAAAATAGTTTTTCATTTTTTGAAAAACCTTATTTCATCCCAAAACTATGACCTTTATTCAAAACCGATCCTCAAACTTTTGAATATTTTAATTTCATTCCCAAACTCTTCCAAATATGTAATTAGTTTCAATCATACTTTAACCTTTTTTTTAAACATAAAATAATACAGCTTAGTGCAATGTTTTTATTAATAATGGACGTGATTAACATATATTGATAGTTTAAAATAAAAAATAAAAGTTTAAGAATATGTGATGCAATTAACTCAAAATCAAATTTGATTGAATTGATATTAGAGATTGGTAAGGTACTAACTCAATAAGGAAAGTAATGAAACACTTTATTGTAAAAGATAATAAATAATATTATTCATACTCGTATAAAAGTCTGTGTATTTAAATAAAACAACTAAAAATCACTTATTAAACACTGAAATTGCATATAAATCCTTTTGTATCCACATATAGTCATTTGCTGATAATATTTTTTAATAAATCTTATGCAGTACATATTTTCGTTCTCCAAAAGAAAATCTAGTTATTATTTAAATCCTTGATAAATGGTAATAACATATTACTCGTTTTCAATTTGTAAAAAATATTGAAAAACATTTTATTATTTAATTCTAAATATAGTTATAATTCTAAGGAGTGTATACCTATTATTTTGAATAAGTTATTAAATATAATTCAATATATAAAGGGAAGAAGAAAAAATAAAAAAAATTGTATACTCGTTTTATTGAAAAAAAATAGTATTAAAATTCTTGAACTCCATTTTCTAATTTTTAGATCCGATTATAATAATACTTTAGTCTCGATATATTATGAGATTTGTATATAAATTTTTTATTGTAATAATCTGTCGAATAAAAATTTATAAACTTATATTTTTTTAATGGCTAGAATTTGTAAGATGTTACAAAAATGGCAGGTAGAAGCAGAGAAGCCAAACCCAACAATATTTGTAAAAGCATGTGAGCTGTTGGGGATAAAACCAGAGGAAGCGGTTCATGTAGGGGATGACCGTAGGAATGATGTGTGGGGTGCCAGAGATGCCGGTTGTGATGCTTGGCTCTGGGGTTCCGATGTTCACTCTTTTAAAGAGGTTTCTCTCCAACTCTCTAATTCATTCCTTTTTAACTTAATTTAATCCATTAATTATGTTCATGAATCGAATCAAGTTAAATGAAATCTCTTCAAATCACATTAATTAAAATAAATTTTCTTGTTAAGTCCGATTTAAGTTTTATTAAATTGAACGAGTTACCTGATATTTAAGTAAATTTATTTTCTCACGTTGTTATTGATTTATAGTTTTAATCCAACCTCTAAATTTTATGCCAGGTTGCTCAAAGGATAGGAGTACAGGTGTAGAGAGAATCACCATCAATGCTTGGAACTCAGTGTGAGAAAAAAGGGGGGATAGATTTTAAGGCTATACATACCTTGTGTATGAGCTAATTAGGCTGCTATGTTGAAAAAAATATTAAGGTGTTTAGTTTTCCTATGTTTAAAGTTTCATTTTAGTGTTATTCTTATATTTTTATTACACTTTTTAGTAAAAAATAATTTATACATTTAAAAAAATTATAATATAAATTCAATATTTTAAAAAAATTACTATACATTTTCCAATAGAAGTCGTCAGTTTTATTTAAAATATATATAGAATTATAATAAATATTTATAACCATAATAGTAAACCAAATACATAATTATGATATTTTTCATAACCATTGATACAATAAACTAACTGCTTGAGATAAACAATAATCATATAATGAAAATGTTAAAAAGTCAATCAAAAGCTCAAATAAATATAGATACGAGTAAACCTAATTGTATCTGCAAATGAACTTCAAAAGGGATCAAAACAATTGAAAGACCATCAACAAATCACATATTAGAGTAGAGCGACATGAGAAAACTATTCACAAACGAAATAATGTATCCAAATCCAATTAGAGGATCTAAAACAAGAAAAATCAGCAGGATAACAAATAAACACCATCTTATTAGTCGAAGCGTAATTAAATCCATCAATAATAAAAGAAAAAAAAACCAAACAATGATAAAAATATTTTAAAAAGTAAAAAAAAAAAACACGTCATAAAAACAAAAAAACCATAAAATAGTGTTATTAAAAAATAATATAATTATATTTTTACTTTTAATAATAAATTATTTAAAATATATAGATATATAAATATTTATAACCATAATAGTAAACCAAATACATAATTATGATATTTTCATAACCATTGATACAATAAACTAACGCTTGAGATCAAACATAATCATATAATGAAAATGTTAAAAAGTCAATCAAAAGCTCAAAAATATAGATACGAGTAAACCTAATTGTCTGCAAATGAACTTCAAAAGGGATCAAACAATTGAAGACCATCAACAAATCACATATTAGAGTAGAGCGACATGAGAAAACTATTCACAAACGAAATAATGTATCCAATCTCCAAATTTATATATTAACTCGAACCAATTTACTTCAATAATTAAAAGAATTATTGTAATTTTTAGATGTCATGGGTTCGAGCACTAGCGACTGCAATAGAGATCAAGCGTTCATTGTCAAATAACTAAGATTACTTAGAACATATATTACTTTTTAATCATCTTTAGCTTAATAAAAATACATATTATGATGTGAAATTTTAATCCTCCTATTTTTCGAAAATTAAAAAAAATATTTATATCAAGTAACACAATCAAATATTATTGTTAAATCTATATCTAAAAATATATATATATATATATATATAATTAGTAAAAACCAACAAATCAACAATTCACATGCTACAAATTAGGTTCAAGTTCACGATTTTTAACTTTTCAAATTTTGTAAGGTACAAGGATGAATTATAATAAAGTAAAATAGATGGATGAACTTATAAGTGTTTCTAAAATAGAGGGATGGAATTCATTATTAGCTCAAATGAAAATATAAAAAGCCTAGGACCATTATTGTAATTTTGACACTCCGATGTTCGGGGCAAAAATCCACAGGCGGGAAAAATAAAATCAAAGTCCTAAACTGGGTAATTTTCAATCATTTTAGCATCGAGTTCTCATCGACGCACTGTGAACTGAAAACAGTGGAAATTGGAAATATGGAGAGAATTCATGTGGCCGTGCGATCGAGACCGTTATCTTCAGAGGATGCAAAGACAAGCCCTTGGAGAATCTCAGCGAATTCCATTTTCCTCCCCAATCAATCTACCAAGTTTGAATTCGGTAGTTCTTTCTAAATAATTAATTGTTCCATTCTCGTTTTAAGTTCATATTTTTCTTGTTTTTTAACATTTTTTTTTAAATTTAGATAGGATATTTGGGGAGGATTGTAAGACTGGAGAGGTTTATGAAGCTCGTACCAAAGAGATTGTGGCGGCTGCAGTTCGTGGATTCAATGGTACCATTCAATTAATTTGATTATATTGCTTCCGTTTTTGTTTAAAAATTACTCTCTAACAAGTGTGATGAAAGTCTATTATGGGAATGGAGGTATTGTATACAGCAATTGCTAGGTTGTTTCACTTCTTGAGTGGGAAAGGGTTTTTTTTTTTTTTTTTACTGAAGTATCTATTGCATTCTCTTTGAGCTACTATGGTCTCTTAGTTTGGTAGCGGAGAGAGATTGCTTGTAGTTGTGGTGTTATCCCATGTCGGCTAAGGTTACAGAATTACAGTCACTTATTGCCAATTGGTTCTTGGATATGCTTAACATGGTAACACAGTCACAGTAACTTTTTCTGTGATTGTAACTATTTGTTACCCCTAAGTGATTTTGCCTCACTATGTTGAGTTTATAATTTGCCAAGACCTTGTGTGTTTAGTTGGGTTAGGTTGCGTGCTTAAAGGTACACATTCTAAGTATTAAGAGCTTTTTAGCATGAGCCACCCAATAATAAGGGGACTTCCTCCAGTACAGTAATTGGAGTCATCTACCCCAGAGTTTTCAGTTAGTTGGCTTTTTTTCTTTCTTTCTTGAAAGGCCTTTTCTTCAATTGCAGGTGAAAGGTGGGGAAAACTGTCTCATGCCTCGTCCTGTAATTTAATAAGTCTAATTCTTTTAAGTTAGCGTGTCTGTTAAACAGTGCATGCTCATCTGGTTTTTATAATGATATGTGCCTCTTATAGTTTCTCAATTTAATTCCTGGTGTTGCAGGTACAGTTTTTGCATACGGACAAACTAACAGTGGTAAGACCCATACAATGCGGGGTTCGGCTGCTGAACCAGGGGTCATTCCTCTTGCCGTGCATGCTTTGTTTAACATATTACAACAGGTACGCATACTGGCCAGCTTTCAAGATTGTTATTTATGTGTTTTGGGAATATAATTATAAAACAAGTAAATTCTAAACATATAGAAATATATAATTAGAAAAGTGGGGTCATTCTACTTTTGTTTCAGGACGTGGATCGAGAGTTTCTTCTTCGAATGTCTTATATGGAAATATATAATGAAGAAATAAATGATTTGTTATCCCCTGAACATCGAAAATTACAAATTCATGAAAGTATAGAGGTATTCTCATCCACAATTAATATTTTCTACTTAATTTTCTATTTCTTACTAATGAACTATTCTTTTCATAAATGTAGAGGGGAATATATGTTGCTGGCTTACGAGAAGAGATTGTCGCCTCTCCTCAACAAGTACTTGACTTGATGGAGTTTGGAGAATGTATTTCTTTGACCTTTTTAATAAAATTTTCATTTTTTTTATTTTGTATTTTTGAGTTGAATTGTCATTGGTGTTAAAATAAAATAACTTATGATGATTGTCCTTAAGATAAAAAAGGGGAAAATTGTGAAACAGTAAGAAAGAAGAGTTATCTTATAAATATTTATTCCTGTTCTTGGATTACATTGTATTTATTTGAATTTCTCCTTTTTATGATTCAAAATTCAGCTCACAGGCATATTGGTGAGACAAATATGAATTTACACAGTAGTCGATCACATACTATTTTTCGTATGGTAAGTTATCAGTTTCCTTAATCTTAATTGTATTATGATTACAAATTGCCATTTACCTTACTAGACTATAGCCATATAGATCATTGAGAGTCGGGATAGAACTGAAGATGGAGATGGAGATACAGTTAGTTCTTGTGATGCTGTTCGGGTATCAGTTTTGGTATGTTATTGAAACGACTAACACATTTCTTCTTTTATGTTAAATAGATTGATAAAACGTGTTGCCTCTAGTCAATTTTCGTCTAATCATATTTATAATAAATTTCTTTCAATTTGTTTTTGTTATTTCGCTTGTAGAATTTAGTAGATCTTGCTGGATCAGAACGCGCTGCCAAAACTGGTGCAGAAGGTGTTCGACTAAAGGAAGGTTCCCATATTAACAAAAGTTTGATGACATTAGGAACTGTTATTAAAAAATTGAGTGAAGGTGCTGAAAGTCAAGGGTATGCTCTTCTCATTTTTGCAAACTTATTTGAAGTGCTATTATTTTTCAAGTATTGATGACGTTAAAACATTTTGTAGGGGGCATGTTCCATATCGAGATAGCAAACTTACACGCATATTACAACCTGCTTTAGGAGGCAATGCAAATACAGCTATAATATGTAATATAACGCTTGCACAGGTAGTAATCTTTAAAACCGTTTGTAGTTGATATAATCTTTACCTGTATATTTCACGAGTGCTACATACATTCCTCTTTATATGCAATATGAAGAGCCGAAGACTAATTTAGGCACTCCCTGTCTCTAGGATGCTATCACTTGCTGACTTTTCGTAGGTTTAAACACTACAGTTTTTTTACTTTAAAATTTATTGACTTTTCAAGAAAATATTTGAATGACTTTGAAAAAGCTCAAAGTAACAACATGAGTGTAGTTGTAATGTGATGGTGTTAAATTTTTTCATGAAGTTCCTGTGTCCGATGTATATTTGACATGAGTATACGACCCTCCAAGAATCCGAACAAAGCATGCCGATTAAGCTTTTTTTTGGGTTTGAATTAGTTTTAAGACATGAGGATGAACCTTTTACTCGTTGAGATTTGAGATTGCTCGGCAAGGGAGCTGTTTTTAGTTTAATACATGCAAAGTTTGTTGCTTTTTGCACAATGGGTAACCTTCTTATAATATTGATGTAATGAACCTGTAGATATGGTCATGGGTTTCTTCTTTTTCAAATTTGACAAATATTTTAGTTTAAGCTGAAAGAGAGATTTAATTACTTGTAAAATTAGGTCAGTTTCATGCATGCATCATATAAAGTGATCCATTCTAAGGGATGGCAAAAAATGCTGAACCCATCGGGCTTGAATCGCTGACCTCTATGGGTGTTTTTTTTTTTTAAAACCAAGTTTAGTGGTGGGTTTAGATAAAGCTCGTCCGCCGTGTCTCAGTATATTTACTAAA